TATATATATATATAGTATATAGACAATTTCATTTACACATGTGAACACTTTATTACAACAGATATTTTACTATATTTTTATTACATGCTTTCTATATGCAAACATAATTTCTCGAAAAAGTTTCTTCAAAACACTTGCTTGTAAATGAGAACTGTTATATTCAAATTCTCAAATATTTTTAGAAAAATTCTTTCACTTAATTGCCATTTTTCTGATTGCTGATTTCGCCAGGTGGATATTACTTTAGTGAATCATTATCCGCATACATATCATAAGGACTATCTGATGTCTGCCACCGCCAGGTTGAAGGTGGAAGTTTCCGCATTGCATGCCGGGGAAAATGGACGTTTGGAGATCAGCTGTCGGGCAACGATACCCGATTTCCCCATGCAACACGAGAAATTTGCCGATATTAAGACAAAGACGGTGTCGGGTAAGTTTTTATAATAAAAAAATATTTTAAATAAATATTAACATCTACAAACATCTGGAGCATATGACATATCAACAATTTTTGATCTAAAAAATATATGCCAATTTTTTATAAGAAAAACGATTATACCTATAAAAATAGATTTAAAATTACTTTAATAAAAAAGCAACGTGTTATCTAAAATGAAGATTGATACGCATTTCAGTTATGAAACTATTTCCTGAAATTTTATATCTCTGCGCTTAGCTCGTATTTACATCGTGCAAGCTACTAGAACTACTCTACATTATTTGTTACTATATCTTGTTAACGATAACTATAAATGATTTTTTTTTTTTTTTACGTGAAATTTGTTTTTAGTGCAAATTATACCAGCACCGGATATGACGTCTTCCGCGGCAATTCTCGTACGAGAACTAACGCTATCTACAATACTGTGCATATTAAACGCGATGCACGAGTTTATTCCTTAATAAAAGTCAATTGCTCTAGGATAATTCGGCTGTAACATACTTAATCGTAAGGATATTAAGGCGATGAACATAAGATCGAACAATCACAATGTCTTCCTTCGATATATCGAAATACACACGGGGGCAGCGGTTTTATTGTCTTTGCAGAAGTTTTGTAAACTCATAGACGCGGCTTCTTCGTGCGCGCTATTTTCGATTATTGCTTATAACGAGCGTCGTCTGTCTTGCGAAACATATCAATTCTCATGAGAAGTAATGTCCGAATATTCGGCAGGTGTGTCGGAAAGCTATGTCTCTTCCTTCCGTATACGCGCACCTACTTATTACATAAAATATATCAAATTTTGAAATTTTTATCTGAAAATTGAAAGAGTAATAATAATCTATGCAGAAATATTTTCGCGATGCGAAATATCTTCGTTTCATAACAAACAGAAAATTTGATGTGTAATACACATAATATAACATAAATATATATTATATATATTGTTGACTTAATTAATATATCTTTTAAAGAATCAGAGTTTATTCCACATTAAAATAAAATATGGCTTTATTGTTAAACACACATGTGAAGATTTGATCTATAATAACGTTATTGTGAGACACTCTGTTATATCACTGTTGTAAATTGTAATTTATATATTACTTTGAAAAACGATATAGTTTTCCGATACGCGTAGTATAACATTTCATATACTCTCGCCTCGCCGCTGGGGAAATACAATGTTTTTTAAGCTAGCAAATGCATTCTTGTTATTGTGCTCTCATTTCCATAAAAATTGTTGACCATAAAAAACGCTTTACAATCCGTTGAATCAGTTTAACATTTTCTCTTTTTAGAGCAAAAAAATCTAATTTCTCGATATCATCTTCTCATTTTTCCTTAATACATTTTTCTCTACGGGAACAATATTTTCTCCTTATTTAATTCATTAGGATTATAATGAAAATAGAACTGATTTCAATACTTAATTTGTATCACGCGCAAAACAATTTTTTATGTTATACGCCCCGTTTTACGATGTTCGATAATATCGAAGAAATCAATTTTCCGACAATAATTTAGAGAGGCGACAACTTTTTCCCGCGTAAAATAGAACATAGATATTAGAACAAATGTTCACCGTCATTTCATCATTAATTCGGAGCTCTTATTAGTGCTCCGTAGAAAACATTATACATAAGAAATTCAAAGCAAGAATGGCATAAGTCAAGTATAGTGGCTTCATATTTAGATTTCTTGCTTGCGTTAATATATTAAGATATCTTTATAAACTATTTTCTCTACTTTAATAAATTATTATTTTATATAATAGATTATGTAACAATGCAACGAGCTACAAGTGAGAACCACAAATATACTCGCTTAGGCCATTTTTACTTTCATTTCTTGGTATATTTCACGTATAATAAACTAAAGAATATCAATGAAACGGGACGTACGAAAATGTAGTGTTATATTACAACTTTCTTCAGTGTATTTTACTAAAGAAGCAAGCTTGAAAAACACTGCGGCAGCGGCTTGGCATCTAGAAAACTGGAAGAATATAGAAGTAACTAGAGGCATTCGAGTCAGAGTCTGGTCAATGCGCGAGTCACTTATTGTTATATCTAATAATATAATTAAATGATAAAGCGCGCAATATGTACACAATCTCTTTGTTTTCAATTTACTGATAGACAATCTAATCGTGTCACTATTATTTATTTTTTGTAATTGAAAAAATAATGCATTATATAATTTTATTCAAACCAATTGAAACTGACGAACTGGCCAAACTCTGATTCGACCATCTGAGAAGTAGAAGTAGCGATTACATGGTCGTTGTGCTTGCGGCCAACTTTTTGAAACACTATTGGGCGCGTTACTTGTCGATACGACATTTAAAACTTGATGCGATACCATCTTTTATATCACTAAACAAGGTTTCTTACGACTAAATGTGTATGTGAGATTATCTTTTATCTGTGTCTACAGCTCCTGGTTAAAAGTCTTAATCCTCTCTCTTTGCTATTAGTACCTGTAATAACTACCAGCAACTTTGAACAGCCGTATATTATTGGCTGTAGTTTAATAACATATTGATAACTATTTAAGCTGGTAATACTTTTAACGCTTGAAACGCTAAGAGTCACAAGGGATTATGTCAGTGAGTGTTATATTAAAGTGAACGCAAACGATGTTTTTCGAGGCTTTAGTGTGTACTTATCTAATCTTGATCGCGTTAGAACTATCGAAAAAAAAAGAATCATTGTCTCTATTAGAGATTAATCTAAAAAAAAACTTAGCTTCAGATTGATTCTTACGAACATAAGTCTGTAGCTAAATTAGAAATAGATACTTACACGCGAGATTAGACATTTCAAATTACGATTAAAAAAAAAAAAATAAGAAAATAAACTACACACTTTTAAAAGATAAATTAATCATTATTGTAGTTAGGAAGAGGAAACATTTTAGGGAACAACATTAAATATGTAGTGCTTTATAGACTAAAAAATATATTTATGATTAATAAATTTTTACGCGTTTTTCAGATTGCAACTATTTGCTAAAATTGAGATAACTAATTCAATTGCGTGCAAATTCTTACATGCTTTTAAACTTGTAGTAAAAGATATACAATTTTTTAATTTTTATTATATTTATAACGTATAAGAGCAAGCATTGATCGACTAACTAAGCAAAGTTTGAAAGCTTAGTAACGATATTTTAATTCAAAAGTGCCTTTTTCATATTATCTGCAAATTAGAAAATATCTCAAGCAGGTTCCACTGTACCAAGCGATATTCCTTGGGAAGCAAATATTGAGAGTTGACATCGTGTTTTCAACGATCTCATTCTCTCTAATAAAGCTACTCCTATTCGTTTTTAGCGTTCACTTTAATATATCGAAAACTCGAGATTTATTATAACGCAAATTTGATGTAGATTTGTTGTTTCTAGCTATACTTTATTTATATAAAATTCTTTTGAAGCTTTGGATTATGATTTTATTTGTTTACATAGAAAAAAATTCAATTTTTATTTAGCACTTTAATACATTAATAATACTGCGATAAATGTAAAATCAAAATTTTTTATCTTTCCCTTTCCAAAAAAAAAAAATTATAATTTCCTGACTAAGGAAATTTTTTATAACGTTTTTCTAAAGAGACAATATATAATTTATTTTTATTGGAAGAACGGAAAACGCAGAGAAGTATAGTTAGAAAAAACAGATCTGACATGAATAAGCGGAAAACAAAAGTCAACGGAGCGTAGCACAGAAAATGGAAGATCTCGCTAAGCTTTTACGACGGTTTGCACGCGATGCTCCTCGCGGTGGTCATCCTAATATCCTTTATCTGTCCGATTTCCCTGGTGATCTGCGGCGAAACGAGCATGTCGCCGAGAGAGCTTACGGCCGACAAAGTGGCGGTGCGCATCGTCGGTGGGGAGATCACCAGCATCAAGAATTATCCATTCATCGTACGCGTGCAACGCGTCCATTTTAGCCTCTTAACTTTTAACCTTTAAAGGATATCAGTATTTCCACATTGCACGGCCCACATCTAACGAATGTGCGTATGTAGTATGACTGTGACGTCAAAAAACGAGGCAGTTGCACAAAGAATCGGGATGAAAGCGTTTTACGTAGTGTCTTATGTCAACTTTGAAATTGACATGATAAAAAATTAATGACATTTACATAAAGTTTTTTCAATTTGATTCAGCTATTTTTATTCAATTCTTTTTTAGTTATCTTGATAGAATAGCATTTTGATTAAAATGTCAATTTTAATCAAAATAAATGATACGACGATGACATATAAAAAGTTTTGATTGGTGTATCTCGGTTTGTGTGTTTCGAGTAAATGTGATCGCATAAAGCTATTATTATCAAGAGACACGGTAGTGTCTCGCGCCAAATCACGCGCAGCAACAGCGAGGCACTCCGGTATCTATACGCGAGTCGGCTAGTTCAAAGTACCTCAAATATCGTTTTCATCAATATAAAATCTTACATGGTATAATTTTATCATGTAATTTAAATGTTTCTGATTTCCGCAGTGCAATTTACTTATGCACATTCGATAGTTACTGATGGCCTACTGATGTACCTTATAAGCGCTCCTGTTAATTAAACAAATTAACATCAATGCTCGCAAAGCTTTCGAGACATTCCGAAACCTTAACTTCTAAATAATCAAGCATTGTCTTGAAAGACATAAACTTTAGAAAAAGGATCAACAAAATATATTATTTAAATTTTTGAAGAAATAAAAGATACTTAAATTAAGTATATTTCTGAAAAAATATATATAAATTTATGAAATTTTTTATTAACATTAAGAGAGAGAATATATTTACTAATGAATAATAAACATAATAAATATTAAAAGAAAAGAAACTGGTTAAATTAAGTATCTTTTTAAATAAAGCTTTTTTTATCGAATAATTTATTACTAAAGGCAAATTTTAATATTAAACATACATAAAAGATTAATATGTTATGAAATTGAGGTTCGAATAGTCTCGAGCATGCTCTGCGCTGGCATTCAAATAAGATCATAAAGGTTGAAAGGGCAACCGATTCGAATCGGACTCGGCGAATCCGAATTTTTCAAAGTCAATTCCTCTTAGGTCTCGGTCCAGCGCCGACACTTTAGCCACTCGTGCGGAGGCACTTACGTCGCCTGTAGGTTCGTCCTGTCCGCCGCTCACTGCATGGTCAGGTGCGTGTCATAAGACTGTGTTTCGCGCTATGTGCGTCGCGGAAAGTGGTGTAGTCTTTCTCTCTCTCTTTTTTTTCTAGCCGGGGCTTTAACACTCGCTATTTCAATTTGTTCACTCTCCCTATACATTCTTTCCAATACAATCTCTAATCCTCGGATGTATAAGATGTAATGTTTAATTAAAGATAATGTGGGATTTTCTCCCTCTCGAGAGGGAGACCCCCGAGATATATCACAGGATTAAAACACAATGGCTTCCTCTGAAGCTACGGGATAAAATACAAGTGAGAATTTTGCATGAAATTTTCGGTATAAACAAAATCGTATACACACTGAAAGTTGTTAATACAATGCGCGCTAAATCTCTGAGCTTTATTCTGTGTTAATATTGACTGCGATAGTTTTTAATTTAGTGCATATATAATGCCGATTTCATGTTCTTGCTTATTTGCTTATAATATGTGTAACGGCTTGTACATAATTAGGGGCTATATAATTTGTTATTAATTTTTAAAGGCTTTCGTGGCCAATTATAATTATGCAACACTGCCATATTGTACAGCGAATTTATCTTTTCGTACTTTCCTGTGATATGATTTATTATATTGTAATACGAAAAGGTGTAAATTATAATTTTTTAAATTAAATATGAGAAAGATCGAGTGAACTCTCGATTTTTATTCATCGTTTGATTAAAAACATTTTACATACAAACACACATACATACACACGTATATATTTTTTATCATCTGTTTCTTATTTAAAATCAAGAATTTCGATTGTTCTCACACTATAATTTTTTTTTTTATAGATTAATAAACATATCTTTTGCTTTCATTTTTAATTTTTTAAAAGTCTGAGAGGATTGTCTCAGTTTTCATTATAATTAACATGCGCGGAACTATCTATGTGATCTAAATCTTTTTAGACTTAAAGTAAGTTTTACGACATGAAGGAATCATAGAAGAAATTTTTCGGCTGAAGTGTAAATTACATTTAGGTATTTTTTCGGCAATATAATTATATGTATTTATAAAGCGAATCGAAAACGCCCTGGTATATAAGACATTTTAGGATTACACCACATTATATGAGGTATTAGTAGCCGTGTTTAACCTCCTTGCTACTGCAGATGTATGTGTAAAATACATGTTTATCTATGAGAAAGCGAAGCTTGTGTTTGATACTAAGATGTGTCTTGTAAGATATAATTCGCTACCATTTGTGAAAAACTAAGCAAGAAAAACAATTTAAAATTTCCAGTAATCTACTTTGAAAATACTTTATAATATATGTTTCAGGAGAGAGACTCTTTTCTCTTTAAGACATATTTATATTTACACATTTTATTAAATATTGCAGAGAAATATATTTGAGCAATGATTGTGTAATGTGTAAATCTCAAACATATTCATGGATGGTAGCCAATTTATATCGCATATACAAACTCTATGTGAAACATTCGTGAATTTATATTTTCGCTACTAAATGGAATTCTCCTTTGAACTGTATAGCGATGGCAGATGAACAGGATTGGAAAAAATCGAAGTGTAATGATGGGGTATAAGTATAACTACCTGTTGACAAGCGAGATATCTATTATAGAAAGAGTTTTGATTCATCTATCAATCCTATTCATCCGCCGTAATTATATCTCATTTATTTCTGATTGTGACTAGTGATGTGCTGTCTAGAGTATATATATTTCACGAGTAACGAGAAGGTTAGCGGCGCTAGATCCTAAAGGCAATGATATCTATCGCGGTATCTATCTGTATATCGATTAGCTGTGTACTAGCGGTAATGTACTACTGTTTGCGTGAGCGTAGTTTCTGTTTTACGAGTCAGTTCGGCCGCCCGTGATTGTACGTAGGAAAAATTGGGGCACAATCAGATATCTCCCTAAAAAGTAATTACATTCAAAATAATCTTAATGAATATATTCCCCAATATTGACTTTTTCGTAGCCATAAAAACCGATTTATTTTTATCCTATTTTTTTCTATCCTTAATTTATTAATTATTAAAGATAATTTTATATGAAGAGGAGAGTTTACAAAAAGAAAAATCTAATGCAATTAATTATTTATTTACTTTAATGATTTTATTTTCTCATTTAATTGCTATTAAAAGTTAATATATAAAAAGCGCCGATTCTCATTAATTACTAAATAAATTGCTTATTTTATCAAAACTTGTGTATCAGAAAAAGATTTTACTACTATAATTTTTTTATTAAATATATATAATAATGCATATTCTTAATTTCTTGAAAAAAAGAAAGAAAGAAAGAGAATCGAATCGGTTTTGTTATTTTGCATTTGATTGCGCCTCAATTTTTTTTACCGCTCTGGTGTTTAAACGAAACAAAGGTATATAATTAACTTGTTGTTGTTTAAAGACGGTTGTTCGACGGTACGTGGATAGCGGAAAATCCACGCCAGTTTTATGTGATCGCCGGCGCGACCTATGTGTACTTACCAAGCTGGAGTTCCATGCAGATGGAATTGATAGACAAGACATTGCCGCACGCAGAGTTTCAATTCTCGGACATGCGAAACGATATTGGATTGTTCAGGGTGACTATTTACGCCGTGTATATAATTCTGTGTCGATAATAAAGAGAGCAAACCTTGTAACAACCGCGTGGCCGTTTGCTGTCATCCGCGCCCATCCTTACAGTTGAGGAGACCTCTTTACAGGAACACGTACATCCAATTCGTCGCACTTCCTCCGGCATACCTTACGGATATGTTCAAAATATATACAGAAGACTGTGTTGTAGCGGGATGGGGTCGGCACATACCTGGTTCAAATGTACGTAGATAAGAGTTTGCAAAATGCTTTATCCAATATAACAAAGTAAAAATTATATTCTTAAAAAAACTATTTGCTCTCTTCTAAAAAAATTCTTCCCAAAAGAGATGGAATGTAAATTCTATTTTTATCTACTATCTTAGTCGTGAAAAATTAATTCTAATGTGAAATAATAGTAGAGACTTTTTGTGTGTTTAAAATGGACTTTTTCGATATCTATATTCGTTCTGTATTCAATATTTATCTTGCTGCATTTGCTGTTTATCGCTTTTTTAAAAGAGAACATTTTTATTTTTGAATTAAAACAATTCTTAAAATAATTTTTTTTTAATATAAGAAAGATGTATAATAATAGATAATGACGTATCTTTTTTTTTTCGTTGTCTGAAGCTAGATAGATATTTAACGTCCGCATCACAATATTTAATGGAGCGAATTTATAGAGAATTATATGATCAAAATATAATTTTTCCATCGATTTTTTTGTGATTTCTTATTAGCAAGAGAGCGGTACATATTTGCGACATGTTCGGATTCCATTAATTTCACCCGAAAAGTGTCCTATGCCGAGTGTGCATAAGGAAACACAATTGTGTGCTGGTCTGCCAGAAGGTGGTCGCGATAGTTGCCAGGTTTGAATTAAGTTTTGTAGATTTGAAATTTTTTCCGAAGGTATTTATATTTTTGCATTTATTTATTCCTTTGACAAAATTGAGAATAGACAATCAAATGTTTTATTTTGTGCTAAAGATCTTATGAAAAGGATATTAATACTGCCTTACATTAGTATATGTATATATATACTTTTTTTTCTTATTTTCACGTTTCATGTTTTGATTTCATTGTACATTTACACTTAACGAATTTTCAGGGTGACAGCGGTGGACCACTGTTATGTAACGGAACGCAGGTTGGCATTGTCTCTTGGGGTGAAGGCTGTGCCCGTGAAAATTCACCGGGGGTATATTGTCGTGTGGATTTTTATCTACAATGGTTGAATGAGACTATTCTTTTAAATGGAACCTCGGAATATTCGTTTCAATACGCGATAATAATTATTTTGACGCTTTATTGTCAATACTTATTAATATAATATAATATCATATATGTGTAAGAAACAAATACGAGAGGAAAAGTTATATCTGTGTTATGTAATTATATTGTACTATTGAAGATCTTATGCCAAATAAAAAGAAACTGCTAATTTATTGCTTATATAAATCTAATCTTTGGAGGTATAATTTTTAATGTCGGTTTGTGTAATTTTGTTTCCAGTAAAAATCTGAAAGAATTAGATTTACTCTAAAGATTTTCTATTAGATAAGCTCTATAAAGGAATTATAAAAATATTACAACACACGGACGCTCTTTACCATATTTTAGAAAAGTTTTTAGAATTTATTATTTAGTAGAAGAGATTATTGCGATCACACAAGCTTGAATTCATTATTGTCAATAAGTTCAAAGAAGTACATTTTACTGCTGTTGCTTTTATTTTTATTAGTACTAGAACAACAAAGGCGCGCGCTTTTATTTACGGACATTTTTTAATTTTTAATAAATTATACAATTAAAAATGTGATTTTATATTTACATATACGTTTTTACGCGCATACACAAACACATACATACAACACACACACATGTATATACATACATATATTTTTTCTCTTGGCCCAATTTTTTACATCATTATTTTTGTAGGATATATTTGTACAACTGTTTTTATTAAAATATTTTTATAAGTTTTTATTTTCAATAATTTATAATAACATTTTAATTCACATGGATAACATTTTTTATTTTATTCATCATACGCTTACACCGGACACACATCCTTTGCTATATCCAACATTACGATTTTTATCAGCGGATATGGAGATCGTATATTTTGATAATTCGTAGATATTACGTATTGCGTATTTATTATACGACACATGAATATCATTCATTTATATAATAACTTTGCATGCAAAAATAATTACGTTACACTGCAATAAATTTGATGTTTTTTGATTGATTTGATCCAATTTCAAAGTACTTCGATTATTTTTTGTGGACATAGTTATGTAACTTGTTTATTACTCATATTTGACGTTTTGTATAACTAGAACAACACATTTTTCAATCTTTAACACAGAACATATTTCGGAGACGATGTTATATTATTTATTCCAGAAAGTTAACAGAGAGAATCTGTGGAACACGCTAAATTTCCGGCAATATATAACAGGTTCTAAATGCATCCTTCTCGTGGTCGTGTTCATCTTCGTCTTTCGCTTGAGAATGAACAGTTACGAGTGAAAGTGATCTGGCTTGGCTGACGCCAGCATATCTGGTTCCTAACAGTCTGTAGCCTACAGCCGAACGAAACGCTGCCGGTATGTTAGTTTATTAGTATCAGCTATGTGTAATTGTTATCTGGATTATTGAAAACGTTATTGGTGATAACAGCAACAGTAATTTAGAGTTCTCCTATTATCTTAAATAAATAAAATGACATCATGTTATTATCGTTATCGCAAGTGATATAAAAAAATAAATTTTCTATCAGTAATAGGGAATCCGTTATCGATTCTTATAGTGTCGTCTGTTGATTACGGTAAATGTTAAATGTCACGTTAAGTACGCAGTGGATGAAGAAATCAAAGACGCTAAGTCTGATATATAAATTGTATCATGATAACTCATAGTTTCACATCGATTATGGAATTTTAGCGTTTACCGTATTTGAAGTACCGAAAATATTTTCTAATACGACATATTATATTACTGATTGTCAAGCATATTAAATAGATCGCATTAAAAAAATTTAGTGCACCATGATGTTCCTTACCTACGTGGCATTTCTACTTCTATTTTTTGGGCCCTATAATGCTTACGGTGAGTTAGCATGTGTAAAGTCTACATTTTTATGAGATTAATATATACGATATTATATTATATTTATATATAATAATGTGGAATATATATCATATACTATATATGTATTCGGTCACTAAAATTCCCGCGTTTACGTATTAACAAGCAAAAGTAAAAGCCGGCATACCACATAATGGGAACGCGACATTTTCATAAGGTTCGCGAATGTATATACAGAGTGTCTCGGAATTAGCTTCCAGCATATCTTTCATACACGAATTGATCAATTCTGAATAATCTTTTATTTAATTAAAAATTTGTTTGAGTATTACTTTTTACGATTTTTTAACATTCATGGTAGATATCCTTATGTATATATAATCGATCCTTAAATTAGAATTCTATAAAAATATAATATTGTATATAATTTCTAAGAATAAATTTGTAAATTTATTTAATTTCAAGTAAAATTAACTAAATTAATACCATTTCCTTCAAAGCTGTAGCTGTATGAAAGCTGTATTAGAATGTAATTTAAATTTCTCGAGAAATCAGAATTTTGAAGTAATAAATATTTTATCATTTCTCTAAAATAATTTCTCTGTTATCACTTAAATTGTATTGTTATAATATATTTTCTATTATAGGACTTACAAAACCAAAACATGATAAAGTCGTTGCTTGTTACGTCGCGTCTTGGGCAGCCTATAGGCCAGGAAATGGTGCATTTTCCTTAGAAAATCTTCGCCCAGAACACTGTACTCATTTAATTTACGCATTTGCTGGTATAAATGCCTCAGATTGGACAATTAGAAGTCTTGATCCTTGGGCAGATATGGAGAAAAATGGTAATTTCAACTTCTCTATGAAATCAAGTTTACATTACATCAAGTTACAGTAATTCAAAATTATTAAAAAAATTAATTGGATAGAATATTAAAGAATAAGTTGTCTAATAAAATTACTAATGTATATGAAATCCAGCATCAAGTTATTTAAAAAAAGGAGAGATGATTAAAACAAGGTAAGAAGAGATGATATAAAAATATTAAATTATTCAAAAAAGTTACTAATTAATTATTAATTCTAATTTTTTCTAATTTCAATTTTTTGGATTTTTATTAATTTGATGATTTTTATTAATTTAATTATTTGAGTCATATTATTACGCTGAAATTTCTTAAATATAATTTGTGAAAATATTCGGTTAAATACAGGAATTGGCAACTATAGGAAGATGACGGCGCTTCGTAAGCCAGATTTGAAAGTATCATTAGGTATCGGCGGATGGAACGAAGGCAGCATAAACTATTCGATGATGGCTTCATCATCGGATAGTAGAAAAACTTTTATCGCTAGCACTGTTGAGTTTCTTAGGTGCGTTCGTCGCCATATTCATATCAATTATTTTTTTATAAAATGTTTTATAACGAATGATTAATACCTCAAGAATGTTGATTATTAGAAATTTTTTTATTTTTGTAATGATTGATATTGTCGCTTTGGAATACGCAACTAAAGTTTAGTTTAATATTACGATTTATATCGATAGTTGAAACTTTACTTTGCTTTGTTTTATATTAATCCCTTTTATTTCCTTTTCTCATTATATATTTCCTTGTTTTTATTTTATGGTTTAGTTTTCGCAAATAAAATTTTGTTGTAATAGAACGTACAAGTTCGACGGGCTGGACCTTGATTGGGAATTTCCTAGTAATCGCGGTGGTGCTAAGTATGATAAACAAAATTTTGTTAGCCTTGTAAAGGTAGGGAAGCATTATAATTTATTATTATTTCTATTATTACGTAACAAGATAAACACGTTATTTATCATGCCCGATAGGAACTACGAGATGCGTTTAGAGAATATCGCTTCTCGTTGACGGCAGCTATAACCGCGAATAATAATTATATTGATATGGGATACGACATCCCTGAAATTTCTAAATACCTCGATTACATTCATGTCATGGCATACGATTATCATGGAGCATGGGACAAACAGGTTCTCCCAAATTCACCATTGCGAAGCAAGGATCAATTAAGTGTGGTAAGAAATATGATTTTCGTATGAGAAACAATATGTTTATATATATGCAATCAAAATTCAACATAACGACATAATTATGTAATTGTATATCAATTATATTTTTAATATTTAGGATGGTACTATTACACATTTGTTGCAACAAGGAGCGCCAGCCGAGAAATTGGTCTTAGGATTGGCGATGTACGGAAGAACTTTCATTCTTACAACTGTACCAGAAACACCAAAAATAAATCCGATTGGGCTGCCCAGTCTGGATACTGGATTCAAAGGGCCTTACACATCCGAAAATGGTTTCATGGGGTTCAATGAGGTACTCAATCATTCTTTCTCATATTTATATCGTTATATTGCAGTTACGTTGTTGAGTGGGAAATTATAATATTGATGTTATGTTACTGTTACTTTGTGTTTGCTGGGTATTGAATCTTTTTTATAACAGTTTTTATAAGTTTTATATCTTATAATATCAAAATATACGGTAAAAAAATTTCTTACATGCATGTGAGAAGGAGATATATATTATAAAATATATAAATAAACTATTTATGAATAAATTGTACATATTTTGAACAGATTTGTGAGACATTGGTATTACATCCGCAAGAGTGGACAACTGGATGGGATAATTACAGTAGCACAGCTTACGCGATTAAAGAAGACCAGGTTGTGATTTACGATGATCGCAAAGCAATTATGATGAAGGTATCTCTCTTTTGCTTTTTTTTATAAAATATGATTTTCTACTAAAATCTGAATTTTCTATTGAATTTCAATTACATGTTCATAGAAACGAATCTCGAATCTCTAATCAAATTATATTGAGTCTTATAAATTTTGAATACTTTTTAAAACTTTTTTTATATAATAGCTAAGAGAGAAAAATTTTGTTACTCAGAAATATTTGGCAATTTTTTAAAAATTATATGTTGTATAAAATAAAAAAAAGGATTGCTTTTAATATTTCATTGCTTTATTATAAAAATATTTCCGAAAATTATTAATTTTTTTTGGATAGAGACGTGGCTATTTCGTAAAACGAGCTAATA